ATGGTATTCAATAAAATGATGAAATAGATTGGATTTAATGTGCTCTGTATTAAATGTGGGTCAGAAACCTTTGAAAAGAAAAAGAAGAATCTTTTAATTTGTTGAAAGCAACCACTATTTAATTAATTGTTCCTATTCTTCTACCAGGATTTCAATCCATTCATGAGTCTCTGGAGCTGCTCAAACAAATACAGAACACAAAGCTGAAACTTGAAAAAAAGAAAATTCGGAAAGACATGAAAAAGATACAATGAAAGTGACCTCCCAGAAGACTGAACACCAAGAGCAAGCCTTGTCCACTCTTGCAGCTGTTCTCTCCAGTGAGAAGCAGCATTGAGTGAAAAAAAGAAGCAGCCTTTAAACACACCTGATTTTGTTTTCCCCTGTCCCTGTAGAATGTTATTGCTAGCTATGATATTGTGCAGTCACAAAAATAACAACTCTGTAACACCAACAGTCATTTTCACACCAATTTTACAACAGAGTACTTCATTGTAGAAGAAAAGTTAAACTTTCAGGATTGACTTAAAATTTTACAAGCAGATTTCATAGAAAAGTATTCATAGTATTTAAAGGACTTCAGGAAAACAAGCTCTCCGTTATTAAGCATGGTTAAGCATGGTCCTGCTATGAACTACATTGGGTTTAGATTGGTGTAACTATTGAAAGGTCTAGTAAATTCCTCCAGCTGCACACAAGGTGTATGGATTAATAGCATTATGAAAACTGGTATTGGGGCATCTACTGGTGCATGATTTGGACCTATTATAATAAGTTACTGGATCATTAGAAGTAGCTAATAGATTGGGTACAATGACAAAATGCAAGTTAATTATTAGCAGATGCATTACTAAGAAGGTTTATTTCTCATCTCTGACCGAATAAAAGTTAGTGGTGGTTTGCAGTAGAACACTCAAATACATAACTGACATTGTAGGTTTTGTTTTGCTTCAAAAATCAAGAAAAACAATCTGGAAATGTGGAGAAAAACTCTGGGAGTAGGGCAAAAGAAACATATCAGTATAATGTCCTAAGAGAAGCTAATATGAGTTCTTTAGCAGGGAGGTCAAAAAAGGAGGTCACAATGCAACTGCAACCGGAATTCAGAAACCTGCATTTCTACAGTACATTTTTTTCCAGGAAGCTCAATATTGTCCATTGCCCACAGAAGAAAATTCAAAAGGGCTCAGATAATCCTCCTCCAGTAACCCACATCTGAAGTCTGTTGTGCTTTTTGCTCTACAGAACAGCAGGTTTCTCACAGACATGGATTTCAGGTGACTCCTCTGAGAAGCCAGGTCTGCACAGCATGATGGCTGAAACCAAATCGATGCAGTCAGCAGGTAACACCACTTCAGAAAACAATCACATTGCTCCTGCAGGCAGAAACTTTGGTACGTTTAAACTTTCTTCAGTGAGTAAAAAGTCCTAGAAATCACTCACGTCTTGTAAAAGACAAAGAACAGCCACTAAAGTCGCAGATGACCTTTCTGCATTTTGTTTGCAGCCAGGCTCTTTAAAGCCAAACTCCATGGGAAAGACTCCTGGCCTCATGCCTGCTTTCAGGTCAGGTCTGTGTTCATCACATTTCCTACAAGCAGCAGGAAACCAGCAACAGTGAAATCCCAATAACATGCAGCAGTGTCTGAGCTACTCTGAATCCCTACTTTGGTCTGCCTGCATGTTCTGTCCATTACAGGGGGCTCTGCCTTCACCGCGGGCTTAAAGTCCATTAATGCAGTCACAGCAAGACATTGGGGGCTGAGGGCAGCCTCCCAAACTCTCTTTCTCTAGCTCCTTCTAGGCCGTCTTGCAATTTTTTGTCTATGTACTTGGCTGCCAGTGAAGCAGCAGTTAGTATGGCTTGGTGTATCTGCCTCCCCACCGAGTACCCTGGATGCTGCAGTTCTCAGTAAACTGCGCAACAGCAAAAAGGTGAAATACAAGGTTATTGATGAATGGGTTTCTAAAACCACCTGGAGACATAAGTATTGCTGCACATTTCCTATCTATCTATGTGTCTGTCCAACATTTCACACGGCAGCATGGCACAACTGAATGCTGCTTTACCTAAGCACTGTTTTGTATGATTATAGTAGAAGGGTTTGAGGGCCTAATTATAAATTCAGATCACACATGACTGTATATATTTGGAATATTGCTATTGTTTGAGTGACTTCACTGCATAAAGGAATTATCTCAGTATTTATCATTCCACACTGCGACCAAACTCAGAATGACCCCTCTCTCCCCTGAGAACAATAAATTTAAAAGTTATTTACCTGTCAGATGTTCAGTTAAATCAGTAGAAAGCCAATTAACTGGGAAAGAAGGAAAGCTAAATTCTAGACATCCAGGACCATATTCAACTGGGCTGCAGGATTAGGGATGTATCTTTCCTTGCAAAGCTGCATTTGTGCAGCATTAAAAAAGTTCTCAAGGGTTTTCTTCCTATGTATTTAATTTTTTTTTTTTTTTAAAATATAAAAGGTATCAAACAAAAGTATTGGGGAGAGAGAAGTATACATCTGTGTTTTTGTTAAACTCTAAGGTTAGGCAAGATTAAATTAATGTAATTACCCACTGTACTTCATGATACCATTCTGAGAGAAGTTGTATAGAAATCCAATCTAGCGGTTCTTGGGAAATACAGAGAATGAGATAAGTGTGCATGACCCAAATGAATAAATAAAATTCTCAGGAGCAAGCCATTGTCTCATGTTTGTATAAAAGGATATGCAAGAAGCATATAATATCCTTCATATCTGAAGTACCAGGAAGTTCTACCTTGAAATTCATTAGATGTCATTCCATTCTGCCTTCAGCATAAGGCAACATAATAAAACAAATTACAATCAGGGAATGTTTTATTTTTTTCCCCCCTTTGCAGTAATAGCAGCCGAACAGGCAGTGAAATCCATAAACCACTCTCTGTTCCCCAACTCAGTGATGCTTATGTGCCTCTGTACAGTACTTTGTATTCTAAAGTGAGCTCTACAAGAGCATAAAGTATAGGGCTGCCCCAACCTGCATAAATTTACATGTTTTTTCAGTGTTACAGCAGACCTTCTACACGTGCTGATTTTGTAGAGGCTATACATTGTTAAAAAATGAGGAGAGCAAGATTTTTACCTCATACTGAATTTTGCAGAAGCTTAAATTTAAACTCATTCTCCCTGAGCACTTTTCACTGAGTAGGTGGTAGAGATACGTGTTTTTTTCTTTTCCTACAGGGCATGTAATACAACTTTGGGCTGTATAATTATCTTGAAGGACTTCATCACTGATCACAGTAAAAGTAACTTCAGGGTCTTCTGAAGACAAAAAACACTGCACTATTTTTTTTTTTTCCATACAGAATAATCACAGGTGACGGTTATGTGGCTGGTTTCTCTGGCCTGTTGTTACTTGCCTGTTCTCCTAGGTGTTAGAAAGTATTCAAGGGTTGGTGCTGAACAAAGTACAGGCTAACGCTCACGTAGAAGCGTTTCTGCCTAATGCATTAACAAGGGCAGGCAGTCGCTGACTGTGCTGTCACCAGGCTGGCGATGACGGGTCTCCCACCACTAGAGTAGGAGGCACAAATATCAAGACCATACGCAAGGATACGAACTATAGGCTGTAAGAACTTTTCCAGGCTTTTAATAGCAGCAAGCTAAAAAAAGTTACAGCTAGTCTTGAGAGTCACGAGTCTGGCTTTTGCAACATTCCCTTTCAATATCTGCAGTTACTGATAGTTCAAGACTATGTGACAGCAGGCTGTGAAGGGAACCACAATCGATCTAAATTTACTGAAAAAAATCTTTTTAAGGAAGGTATTTTGCATTGAGATGGGTGGGAGAACAAAAGCGTGGGAGACAAGGAGGGATTCTTGCCATTCAGAAGTTTCTACTCCCCTCCGCAGAGTAGGAACCCCAGCCTACTGAGCTTAGTTTTCCTCTTTAAAATGACGGTGGCACGCTCGTGGCTCTCACCTGCTTTCCAGAGATCACTCCGCACGGCCGGTTGCAGAGATGCACATCCCACGCACCCCAGGTCAGCACCCTGCTTTCTTTAAGCCCAATACAACTGGTTCTGAAACCAAGCGCGTGTTCAACGCAGTGCCACTGCACACCTTGGAAGCGCCCTTTCTTCTCTGTAATATGGGATCGTATGAGCTATCATAAGACTTTGATGCACAGAGAGTAATTTTAAGAAACTTTAAACCAGGAAACGGACAGCTACCGTGACTCTTGTCAACAGCTTGAAAATCCCGAATGGTGACACTAACAGATTAGAATCATTGCTTTATTTTTTTTTATTTTCATGTACATAAAGGCAAAATAACATCACGTCTTAAGAACCACTGTCATGATTCATCCAATTAAGCAGTCAGCAGCAGAATTACCAAGGCATAAATAGAGCCTGTTACACACATTTATAAATATGACCCTGTCCCTGATGATCACAAGCTTTTCTTGATGGGAATGTTTGCTGAAGCCTGCAGTCAAGAGGATACACTGCTGTAATTAAGATTAGCTAAAAAAAAAAAAAAAAAAAAAGAAATATTTTAAAAAAGGATAAACTGACACCCCACATGAAGTTCCAAGTGGATTTGGGTCTCAACAGCAAAACAAAGTGCATCAGAGGAATATAGGCATTTTAAATCTCTGAATGTTTTACAATATCTGGGAGAGAAGAAAAGTTTGCTGTTACTTAGCCAGTAAGATTCTGTGCCAAGAAAACCATGCATCACTGCCAGTGCAGTTAATATTGTAGTTCCGTGTGTGGCCAAGGGGGAAATACAGACAAGTACTCTCCGTTCCAAATAGCGCTGAAGTTTCAGCGAGGCAGAACACAAAAGTAAAAAATCAGGGGTTTCCTTTCAAATAAAGTGTATTTCTCTGGTGGAACCCATGTCAACAAGAAAATAACGTACTTTTGTTCAAGAAAAAGTAAAACTAAAGACAAAGTTGCAATTGATGCAACAAAAACCAGACACAAACAAATAAAAAAGCCCAAACCACATATGCTCCTGGAAAATGGACTGATTAAGTTGCACGAATGGAAGATTTTTCACTTGAGATAGTCCATACTAGGCACTTGCTGACAACTTCTCATTTAGTTCCAGAGCTCTAACATCTCCATTAGCTTTGGCATTTTCTATAAGCACCTGCAGAGAAAAACAAACAATGAAAACCTGAGAATTTAATAATTTTATTGTTAATATTTTACTGGCAATCTCAAATGCATTTTAATTTCTGCTATGCGGTTTCCCTAGAAGATTAAGTAACCCATAAGCCCAGATAGGAAATATTCAACATTACACATCAGCTTCCTTAAAACATCAGGCACATAAAAAGCCCACCCTCTAGTGACCTGCTAAACCTGTAGTCACTTGCAATGCACTATCAACAACATCATTTGTTACTTCAGGCTGAGACAAAGCTTGACAAATAAGTTACCTGCTGGCAATGAAACAAGCAGAGCTAGATGAGACCCATCTCCCTGCCGACACACACTTGTCTCCTGCTAGTACATTTGTATATATCTAAATTTGCCAAACAGGAGCATTCTCTGCAGCTGCTTAAACAAAACTGCCAAGGTATCCTTTTGCCTCCCCTATTTAAATTTACTCTTCCTTGATTTACTTTCCACACCTTCTATTTCCAGCTTTTCTACTAGTTAAAAAAGCTCCCATGATAGCCTAATGTTCACAGATGTCCATAAGCTTCTGGCACTTCTCTTGTAATCCAATCACAGTATATATATTAAAAAGGGAAACCATTAACTAGAATCAAGCAAATCTTTACCCTAGCCATTATTTTTATTGTACTCATTGGTAGAGAGTACAGATGACTTTGCAGAAGCAAGTGCAATGAGATCGTATCAGGGTCATCTGAACTCATTAATTCTAGCTTTTTTATGAACCTGTGTATGAATTTTTGTCAATGCTGAGCCTGCTTGATATGTTGTACCTCCAAAAGTACTTTGTTATGGATTCAACATTTCACCAGGGAAGAGCTGGGCAAAACAGCTCATCGTGCCAGCAGCAGCAGTGAGGAGATTATTAGGAGAGTGTATTCAGAGTTTGAGTAGCAAAGTGATTCCAATTACAAGCCAAAAGGAAGCACCCCCCTTTGCATCACATGGAAGAGCTGTGTGGTGACCAAATCCATTTGCGAAGTACTATCAACAGAAACTAATGTAACATTTACTATGTACTGAAAATAATGTACCATTACAGATAGATAGAATAAAAATCTTAAGTACAGGAAGTACAGCACTCTACTGTTCAGATCTTTTGGGTCAATGATACCACCACACTGTTCCAGCCAGGCTAGAAGGAATTAACATTTTTAGTGTATTAATATGTTCTGGTAAAATTCTGATAAAATGGTCCTCATGTCTACTGAAGAGTCACTAGTAGAATTCTTGCCAGTTTGGATTAGAGAGAGATTTTACCGTTTGTTTTTCATTAGTACTGCATGGAGGAATGGAAGACTTTCAAACTGAATGCAATTTTGAAAACTGAGGTACATTTTGTCAGTATAGAATCCTTAAACATTGCGACCTCTAGAGCAGGTGAGCCAGCACCTCCCTGGCCTCCCTCTACCCCACTTCCAAGTTGGAAGCACAATATTCAACATAAATAGACTGAATTTCTGTATAAAATGGACTGTCTTACATCTATTAATTCATAATCATCTTTGGCATACAGATGTTGCAGGAGGTACCAGCGTGCCACTGACACTATGGTTTCTGGATTCCCTGGTTGATA